TTCTTTTTCCTTAGAGCCCCAAGAGCAGCAGGTTGAGTTCTTATACCTGTAGAGCCATACAAGAAGACAGCACGAATATTTGATGTGGAAGAATCCAGTCTGATTAAAAGGGTCAGTCCTCCCAGATGGATGACAGACAGCTTTTGTTTCTAAATGAGGCAGCATTTATAATGTTACAGCAGTAAACAACGTACATGAAGGCTTGACAGTCACATTAGCAAAGTGCTACAATGAAATTACTGGAAAGAAGGAAAAAAAAAACCAATTCTGGCTATTTGCAGAGCAAGAAAATGGGAGCTAGTTTTGACAGATAAGACAATGCAGCTGTTGGTCAGAAGAGCTTTGTCTGGTTTTTTTAGGGAGGAGGGTTGGTTTTTGTTTTTGTTTTGTTTTTGTTACTACAGATGAAAAATAGTGCATTCCGATTTTAAACAGAGAAATTTGGATTTGTTCTTTTTTAATGTGCCTGACTCTCCAAGTCTCATGATTAAGAGAAGCATATTTACAGCTAAACTCAAAACAATAAAATTTATTCAGTGGGTATGAATTGGAGAAATCTGGATTGTTCAGAATAGCTGCAACATGGTTTTCATATTGCATAATGACAGAGTTTATTTTTTCAAAGTATATAACACGAGTAGAAGCACCTGCTCTATGAATAATTTACAGCTAATGAATTTCTTCAGGTTGCACATTGTCTGTGGTCAGGATAGTATTTTATTTGAATCCCTGTGGCAACATCTAAGACTGCAGAACAGACTAGCTATGGGAAAAATGGCACTGTCATTTTGCCTGCAAACATAGTAGTTTTCTGGATTGTTGTAGTATTGACACTTCTTTTCCTCCTCAAACATTCAGAAGGATCTTAGGGCCAGGGTTTCCCACTTTTTACAAGACTTCTATAATTGGGGAATTTTTAAAGATTAAAGTTACTATGGAGTATGTGATTACACTGACAGAACTAATTTACACGCAGAACTTGTTCTTCTGTTTGTCTTAAAGGTCTCTGACCTTATTAACAAGCTAAAAACTAATAGCAGGAACTCAGGTTCCTGGTTCAGAGCCCACTTGACATCCCTGACCCACACCCCATGCCAAGGCTGGTCTCGAAGGCTCTGCCAAGAGAACTCCCCTTAAGACCCTTAAGAGAAATAAACATCCTTAAGATAGGCACATCAGAGGAGAAACTCACTTCTTGGGTTGTTACAGCTTCTAAGCCTGCATTGTTGCCTGCTTTTGTTGCTTGAAATAGATGTAAACCTTGTGCAAAGGGAGATGGAGGATGATGAGGAAGACAAGGATTACACTGTTTTACTGGTTAGAATTTATTGGGGTTTGGAAAACAGATGTCTAACCTCTATATTTGGGTAATTTTAAAATCGATGCTAAGGTACCAAGAGTTACCACACGAGCTTCATGTGAGTCTTGTAAACAGTACATGAATCTAGAGTGGAAAAAAAAATTGTGTTTCTCTAGAGAAAATGATGTATTTACAGTAAGCACATGGAACAAGTGACTGTTAAGGGGAAAAAAGAAGAGATGAAATAAGAGCACAGAGACTTCTGTCTTCCTGGTATATACTTGTCTTATGCATTGGAAAAGGCTGGGAGCCCTGCTTGCCCATGCCAGCAGCCCACTGTGTTTTAGTGCTGGGCTGGTTGTGTAACCAATTGGCAAAGGGTTCAGGTAATGAGCTGTGGCAGGAGTACGATTGGAAATGGGGACTGATATTGAAAGCAGTGTCTCCCGGGCTCCCTCCCCTTCAGGAACCCTCAGCTCCTGCATGGAGACTTAAAACCCTTTGTTAGTTTGTGCTTTAACCTGAAGAAATTAAATCGAGGGAGAGGCCTAGTGGATGAATTGGTTGTCAAGGCAGTTTCTGGTATTGATCAAATTCTGCTGTTTATGTGAATTGGGCTGATCTCAGAGTGAACTTGAATTGACTGCACAGCAGGGGAGCTATTTTGGATAATACCCTTTCCACATGTGTGGCAGTATAGTCAATGTTCCTGTGTCCATCCCACAGTAATAATGAAGGAAGAAATTAAATTTATATTAACTGAATTTGTAAATCTTCCCCAAAAAAACAGCATGGTAAACTGTGCAAACCTCCTCCCAAGATTTGCAGTGGTGCTCAGCTTTGTAAAAGTTTAAAATATCTTCTGCCTAGTTTGCCCCTGAACATTGTTTCCCACTATAATTTTCTTGTTGACAATATCCAACAATAAACTCCCAGTGTAAAAACCACTGATACTGCAACACTCCCTTCCTAGAAAGGATGGGGAACAGAGTTTCAAATGTGGAAAGAAGGTGAAAAAGCAGAACAAAAGCAACTATTCTGATGGTATTGATGATCCTAAACCTCTGGAAAACATAGTTTTGCAGATCTGTTGATGCAATTGTTACTCTTCGTAGCCTCTTTCTGGGCTTGCCACCCCCCATCCCATGCCTGATGTTATCACTGCAAATGGGAGACAGCAGGAACAAAGCACATGTGCAGATATTTACACATGCATGTGTGTCCATAAAATTTTCTTTCATTAGCCTCCATCATCACCTCGCACTATGCCAATAAACCTTTGCACCTGTCAGTTGCATGAGAGATTTGTGAAATGGAAAGTGAGAAACCTTTCAGCAGTGTGGTGAAGCCAGGCATGCCAGCAAGTTAAAGATCTTGTGGTAAGGGCTGGGAACTTCACGTGGTCATCTTCAGGCAGTGGCAAGGGGACAAACTGGGAGGCAAGACATAACCTGTCATGTCATATCTCCTTTATTTGGTTAATAGATGGTGGTTTAGAGGAGTCAAAGTCAAATTCAGAAGCAGCAGCTATCAGCTGGAGCATGCAGGTGTTCAGCAGACAACCCAAATACCTACATCAGACATCAGGGTGTCTTGGTGGGTAGGGCTGCGTCCACTGCAGGCTGCACTTATGTAGAGACAGTCAATAGGACAAGGGGGAATGGTTTCAACATGAAAGAGTGGGTTTAAGACTGGATATTAGGAGGAAATTCTTTACTCAGAGGGGGAGAGGCCCTTGCCCATATTGTCTTGTGAAGCTGACATTGCCTTGAAGTGTTCAAGGCCAGGTTGGATGAGGCTTGGGACAACCTGGTCTAGTGGAAGGTGTCCCTGCCCATGGCAGGGGGATTGGAACTAAATGGTTTTTAAGCTTCCTCTCAGACCACCTGATTATTCTGAGATTTCTCAAAATTTTAGTTTTCATAGAGCTGTTTCCCTCAGATAATCAAAATGTATCACAACTGGAATGTCTGTGTATCTTCCTTCATTAATCAAGTGTTCTTGTGGTCCCTCAAATTTCATATTGATTTTGCCAGAAGTCAGGCAGGGGTTTTGAAACATCTTGTTCCATCTTGTACTTGACAAATTCCTGCCATATACACATTATTTGTATGGGGTCACCTGGGTTTACCTTTTGCATGAGCCAAAAGGTAGGTGAGTGAGCACTGGAAAATCTTAGGAATGCTGGTACATAAAAAGCTACAGGAAATAACCACACTCACTCTCATGATTTCCCTGGAGAAGCATTTGGAGTTTGGTGCACCCACAAATGGGTGGATATGCAGCATTCTCAGTCACAGATGTTTACAGGCATTTTGTGTCTGTGGGGAGATGGTTTTAAACCAGGGAGGAAGAGGTGAAGCTGGTGATACAATGATCCACTGAGAGGTTTCTGCATGAGAAGTAAGGTCTGTTAAAATGATGAGTAACATTTCTCTCACTGCAAAGTCATCCATCCCCCAGGCTCGGTAGGACTGTAGGTCAGGCATTGGAATAGGCTGCCCTGGGAAGTGGTGGAATCCCCAACCCGGGAAGTGTTCAGAAGATGAGTGGATGTGGCACTTGACAACATGGTTTTATGGTGTACTTAACAGTCTTGGGCAAAAGTTGGACTCCATCTTAGAGGTCTTTTCCTACCTTAATGATTCTGTGATTCTATAGGTAGTGATTCTATAGGTAGTGTGCCAGAAGTTGCCAGTGAAAACAGCGTTGGCCATCACAGCGAGCAGAAAGGAAACTAAATTCCCCATTATTGGTTTGCAGATAAAATTAGAAGGAAAAGTGGCTGAAATTTTCAGTGGTACATACATTTTTATGGACAAAATAAATGCAGTATACTCTAGTGGACTTAAAAACCACACTTTAGAATTCCAAAGGAAAAAGGGTTTTCAGAAGTAGTGAAGGTTTCATCTGTGTTGTTGAAGGGGTAAATTATTTCAGTTTAAGAATAAAATGTTTCTGAAATATCTGAGTCCTTACTACACTCTGCTGATTCATTATAACCACCCAAATGCCTGGATCTTAGTGACCAGTCACCTGATATCCTAGAGTTCAGTCCCAGGATGGGTGCAACATGATGGAATGTAAATAAAAATTGGCTTCTTAGCCAATGGCAGAATAATAGAACTCTGTCTAAAACAGCAAATCCTTTTTTTTCCTTTTCAAATATTGTTAGGATTTGAATCTAAGCTCCCAGACAAGCCTGAGGCAGAAGAGATAAAAATGTTGAGTTACAGTGATAAAATGCCTTTTCCTACATTCATATTCTAGTTTGTGCCTGACTACCCGGTGTATTTGAACTCTTCGCTGTATTTATTTTCTTTCTGCTAGCTAGAGAAACTTCATAACTGTGATTAAGTCCCTGTCATATATTGCATTTTATGAGGAGAAGGGATTCTTTAAAAGCGATGAGAAAAGAATGGTGGGGAGGCAGAAACACACATCACGATGCGATTTTAACAATCCCAGTTAAAAAAGAGCACGAATTGCTACAAATATTCAAGCAATTATTTTCAAACCATGTTCTCCCTATATCCTCTGTCCTCTTCTCTGGTGGGTGCCACTATACAATAGTGGAGTCTACAAAGGTAAGATCGTGCCAGAAGGAAAACAAAAAAGCCAGGCATGAGGAGTCAGAGAATTAGACATTAATCAGGTACTGTGAGTATTGATTTTTCTCCTTCTTTGGCTTATATTATAGGGATACAAGAACAAGAGGAAACTTCTGTGGAGCCTATGAAAATTGACCTTGCAAGTCGAGCAGCAGATGTTTCAAATAAAGATGGTATGTCGTTCTATTATTTTCAATTACTTTTTTATGGTAATTGCTTTAAAATGACAAAAGAGTGTGTTTAGGTTGGATATTAGTAAGGAATTGTTCACTGTGAGGGTAGGGAGGCAGTGGAATAGGTTGTCCAGAGAGCTGTGGATGTCCCATTCTTGGAAGTGTTGAAGGCCAGGCTCATGGGAGCTTGGAGCAACCTGGTCTGGCAGAAGGTGTCCTTGTCCATGGTAGGGGAGTACAACTAGATGGTCTTTAAAGTCCTTTCCAAGCAAAGCTATTCTCTGATTCTGTGTATTGTCCTGAAATTGATACCTTGCGTTGCCTTTCTGGAGTTTGTTTTTCTGTTTCCTCCTAAAAAAATTGAGTTATATTTATAATCTCTTCAACTGAGTATTTTTGAGAGTTTACACCATTTCTACTGTCTTGAGAGTCTGGTGGAAGTAACTTTCAGCACTGTAGCCCTGCTTTTTGAGTTGATTGGTTATCAGCTGTTATCAGTGTGTTCAGTTGATATGTTCCACACTGCCTGCCTTTTAACTAAGTAATATTTTAGACCACCTGTAACGTTAGTCTTGATATAGAACTGGCCAAGAGATTGAGGGTCTAACTGCAGTCAGAAGATTATTTCCAAATATTTCTGTGCTGGTGCCCAACTCCATTGAGGGGGAAGTGTTTGGCAGTATAACCACTCTGAACTTGTATGTTAGTCTCTTTCCAGGTCAGCTGTGATTCCCTTTCCTCCTCCTTCAGCACCCATGTATAGCTCAGTCTGGTAACAGTTCTTTCACTAAGACTTTTACTGTTAATAAAACAATCACAATTTAGTTGAACCAACAGCAGTTCCAGTCAGGTTTGTGGACATAATCAACCCAGAATTCCTGACTTGGAAATTATATCCCTCCAACATTGACCTCAGTGAGCTGGTGACTCATCTGTGTGGCAAATTCAGGCAAGGGCTGGGTATTAGGATGCTACTTGAAATCTGCAGTGTGTAACATCCTTGTAAACAAATAATTGACCTTCTTGGCTCATCCTACGTGTAAAGAAATAACGGTGGGAATCAGCATACTGGTGCTTAGGCTTTGGGGAGGCAGACCCTTTTTCACTCATCCTGGTCAGCTCTTATAGCATAACAGAGCTACAGAAAGGGTTTTGTTGGGTTTTACACAGAGGGACTTTTTTACTGCCCCAAACAGCAGTGGGTTTGGGATCAGGTGTCCAATCCTCATTTTATACCCATGGACTCCTCTCTGTAGTGAAGGCTATTTTTTAACTCTTTATCTAACCTCCTAAACATTGAGATGTAAAAAAGTGTGCCTTCAATCTATATTATGTCAAAGACAAACCAATTATATTCTTTTTTCTATTAGTTACATGAAGAATCTGATGCTGATTTCCTTTCTCTGATGTCAGATTGATTTGAATCAGTTACTGATTAGATACTGGCCTGTAAAGAAGTGTACAAGCACAGGAAAAGCAAGTGTGCATAATGAATTTTTCTTTTTAAAAAAATACTAGAGATTATGCAATTACAAGTAGGAATGCAGAATAAAATAAAAGCAGCCTTCTTGACTCATTCTTTGAACAAACCCAGAAGTCATAGCACATTAAAACATTTTAACTGTGAATCCATGGGATAGTTTGGGCTACTTAGTGAAAACAAATCCAAATTTACTAAAGGAATATCTTATGGGATTTCTGACTGGAAAGGAAAGCATAGGTGTTTCAACATAGGACAGAACAGCAGGACCAGCTAGTGGTTTCTGAAACGAAGATGTTGATAGGTTCCTCTGTTTCAAATCTTGCTTATCTTGTAAAGTCATCTACATATGACTCATCTTGTACCTTCCTTTTCTTTGAACTTTCTAAATTATGTGAAAGGACAGGAAAAGGGTGTTTGCTTATGATGCCAAAAAGTACTTCACTTGTCAGGCAAGTCTTTGTTTCTAAACAACTTAAATTGCTATTAGGATTATATTGCAGGGTGTTTTTCCTTGTGGACATATTGTGCGGTTTGGTTTTTTTTTTAAAAAAAGAGAGGAAGAATCAAACTCATTCCCTTTTACAGTAATTTTTGTGTAAATTGCCTATTTTTTTCTCTGGTCCCCTTCTTTCTGCTGCAGGAGATCTCATTGCTTCACAGCCAAAAGCACAAGCATATATCACTGCATTCCCCTTGGCAGCCCAGCTCTTCATTTCATGTACAGCAGCACAGTGAAAAGTGCATTAGAGATGCAGAGAGTTTAGACAGCTTGGGTGGATCTCGATATTGGTTCATCCAGTGGGCAGGTCCATGAGAGTGATATATTTGAGAAATTACTATTATTTGAGACCAGGGGTGATTCTCTATGAGGAATACTGTCAGAAGGTGCACTTATAGCCTGGATTAGGGCCATGTATACACACACATTTTTGTCCTGCCAGTTTCCATCAGCCATCAGAGCAAAGACCCCTGCATATTAAAGTTCTTGTACCCAGGACAGATTTGCTGATTAGTTTTTTTTTAATGATGGTAAACCCCACCTTTGGTGATTGGGTTCTTAGATGGTATTTCCGTGACAGCAGCCTTCCCTTTCCCTCCTTTCCCTCCTTTCCCTCCTTTCCCTCCTTTCCCTCCTTTCCCTCCTTTCCTCCTGCAGTTTTTAGTTTCCAGCTGGTATTAGTCAGATCAAACTTTTCACAATGGCATTGCTCAATCATCTTTTTTTGTTTCAAGCCTGTGGAAAGCTGCATCCTGATCTAAATCAAAACACTGGTATTTGGTGTCATCTGCTGTCCAGGTCCATGGCATAATATCCTAAAGAAACGCACTCACTGTCTTGCAGATAACTTTAACTTGGCTCTCCAGTCTCCCCTTTTGTCTTGTCCACTTAGATCTGTGCTGTCACTCCTGGCTAGCTAACCTTTAAGCACATAGCTGTCTTGCAGGAATGAGGAGTAATGTTGCACTGCCAAAGCACATCCCCCAGGTCAGCAACAACTGCAGTGCTGTGATGGATGGGAATTATTTGCTGGGTTATTTCTTCTCTTCTTGAAAGGAACATTCTTGCTTTTGGGGGAGAAATCCCTGCCTGGTCATCATTTGAGAGCTGATAATTTTGGCCCCCAAGGGGTCAAAATTTAAAAGAAATCAGACAGAATGACCACATCCGTCACACAGAGATGTCAATTTCTGGCATAAAAACCATCTGTGAAGGTGCAGAAGGTGGTGCAGGTAAAACTGAAATTAGGGTGATGTGCATCTCTTTGTACTCCAGGTGCTTCTCAGAGTTGTTGGCTGATGTAGCATATTACGGGGAGGTGCAACAAGACTGCTAAAGTGAGTTAGCAGTTTAAAACCTCTAAAAACCTTGCTTGTCAGGGAGAGGCCTTATTTCAGCTTGTGATGTGACTGGATGTAGAACACCCAGGGCTAATGATGCCTTTCTGACACCACCTCGTGCTGGGAGGAACCAAGGACTGTGAGTCACATCCTCACCACACCTGGTGGCAGTTCTTCCATGTGATCCTATGTGCTTCACTGCTGTGCTGTTTTCCAGCTAAACAGAGAGAACTGTGGAGCTGTCCTCACAGTGGCATATGTTGGGATTCACTCAGTGGTCCTTCAGTCAGACCTCTCTGTCCCTAGCAGAGCTCATGCAAAGAGCCAAGCTCCGTCACAAAACATAGGAAAAAGTTCATCTGGGGTGCTGGCAGAGCCTAACCACAGGTTTCAAGTCCAGATTTATTTTGCAGGAGGTTTCTGTAGAACGTGAGTGAAGGCTGATGGTATTTTCAACAAATATTCCCAGTAAAGCTGTCCAGCATAATGAGGCTGGGAGAGGATGCTGTTGTCAGTGTGCAGCAGCCGTCCTTCAATATTTTTATTTTTTTATTAAGCATCCTGTCTTTTCTATGCAAATATGGTTAAAGAACACAAGCTTGCTAAATGTGATGTGCATCAGAGCTCTGTAATCAGGAGAGGACACTTTTCATATTATTCATCACATATCTCCAGGAAGTCATTACAGTATCTTCTCTGCATATGGATGATGAAGAATTTACAAATAATTCATCAAAACCATTACAGGTACATTGATGTGATATTGATTCAGAAAAGACATCATACTGCCTGGCTGGAAGTAGCACAGTTACTGATTTTGGGGTTTTTTCTTCCTCTCTCCCATCTTATCTTAATTTCCAAATATCCTATTCATGTCTGAGGTTTTTCCCTGTCACCCGCATCAAATGCCTCATAATCTACAGGTGGTAACACAACAAGAAGCCAGAGAAAAGAAATTTAAAAATGGGTTTAATATAAATGGCTTCTTTCAAATTCAGTGCAGAACAAATACTAGTCTTAAAACTGCAAGTATTTATGTTTAGCCTTGCTATGACCAATCACACCTGCCATACTTTAGATTATAGTTTTGACAAATGTCGTGGTGAAATGAGTTTAAGCCTTCTATTTAATTTTTTATTTTGTTTTTGAATTTTTTTTTTTTCTTAATTTTAAATGAAAGTAAGGTTGGCATTTAAATGGATCTTACAGATATTGTAGGAATATAGTGACATTGCCTCTGAATCCTCCCCTAGGTTCCATCAATTTGCAGTTCAAGAACTTCTGGAAGGAGCATCTCTGTAACTGAAACAGCATCAAAAGTGTCACATCTTGACTCCTGCAGTTCAGGGACATGGTTTAGTGGGACTTGGCACTGTTAGGTTTTTGGTTAGACTCAGTGATCTTAAGTGATCTTTTCCAACCTAAATAATTCTATTTTTCTATGGAAATGGATCTGTGTTCATCCTGTGGCTCAGCCCTGAGTCATACCAGGGACTTTGTCAGAAGCCAGTGTTTGAATCAGACAGTCAAGGTTTGAATCTGAGGGCCAAGACCACTTAGTCCAGCGAAAGTCTAGATCACTCTTTGAAAATACCTGTCTCTCTGCCTGTGGCCTACAAAGAGAGATGAAGGTCCTTTTGACCTTGAGCTGGACTCCTTGGTTGGGAGCCAAAGTCAGACTGGATGGATGTGGACCAAAGAGAAAATCTAGAGCCAGAGGTGTGCGCTTCTAGTGATGCTAAAGCCTTCCTCCTCAAAGGACTGCTTGTCATAGTGTCCAGGGAGTTCCAGGTTATGATGAGTCCCCTAAGAGACCTATTTGATGACTTAAGAGATTTCTTAATGCAATATTTGTCCCTTTTGGTTTAAAATCAGTTATTACTCCACATGATTATTAATGATACTCGTTGAGTTTAATGACCGTATCATTTCTTTTTCAGCTGAAATGAATAGTCAAGTTGAAACTATAAACGATCCAATGGAAACAGAGCAGAAAGCTTAAGTAACAGGTAAGACCTTCACAACTATTTTTTCTCCCCTATTTTCCATACAGTTTCTGTATGAAAACTTGCTTTGAAAGCACCTGAATTAAAGTTAAAATTTACCAAACATTAAAAAAAAAAAAATAGAAGACGGAATACAAAGGAGAAGTAATTGTCTAATATGGCCTGTATTACATCATAAAAAGAAAGACTTGATTTGTCAAGCAAATGTTACAGCAGCCATCTGCAGCTGTAATGGGTTTAGGTAGTGCATGATCTTAGATCATCAGAAGGCAAAACAGCACTGAGATAGGAACAGAAGAATAAGTGAGCAAACATTTTTTGGCATTGCTTTGGAAAATGACAGGCAATTTATATTTGTTGGACCGAAGCTCAGTTCTTTATGAGCTGTGTTCTGAGAACAAAAGGTTCACATCGTGAGGGGTTTGTTGCCCTTGACTCTCCAGTACCTAATGTCTCTTCAGCAATAGCACGAAAAACAAGGCAAAGTCAGAGATCTGCCTTCTGGAGCTCTGCTGCCTTTTGGAGCTTTTGTTTTTTTTGTCTTTCCACACTAAATGATAGTGCTGTGGCTGGAGCAGTGGTGGCTGTTGAGGAAGTGTTTTTCATAGGCATAAATAGCATTTCTTCTAGACTAAAATGAACAATGTAGTGGGAAGACAGAAGTCCAAGGCTCATCCCTAAAAAAAAGAAGCAGTAGTCATTTCTCCCTCAGAAGTGGTTTTCAGTGCACACTGCTTCCTTTCGTGTGGGGTTTCTGAGAAATACCAATATCATAAACAGCAACATGTTGCATTTACCCTTGCAATGGGGTTTCATGTAACACAAGAGCAAGGCCTGCAATGGCAGCAGCTGTAACACAGAGATTTAAAACACAAGGTCACGTTATTGAATGTGACTCTTGGTCCTTATCAGCATACAGGTGATGTGCTACTATACTGCTGGAGTGAGAAGTAGCCCTGATGGTGTCCCATTTAAAAAGTACTGAAGTAAAAATAGGATGCACCCTCAAAATATTAATTAAAATACAGCATCCATGGCTCTTCCTCCCCCTCGCTTAGCTTCTTGCTCAAACAAAAAAGAAGAAATAATGAAATCCTTAACTTAAAAATACATCAATATGTTAAAACCCTTCCTCTGTTTAAAAAAAGGTATTTGAATATTGTAGTTTTCATGTGGTCTTAAGAAGTCTGTTTCTCGTGCTGCATTTTCCCATAGAAATTATCTCTGAATATTTAAGACTGGAGTAATTTTTGCTCATGACTTAACAATCAGTTAATAAATCTCTTCAGTTCCACTGCAAAATATGGCTTTGCAGGCATCTTTCTGATGCAGAGGGGCTAGATCCTGGGCACACCACGTCTTGCTCAGCAGTTCAGTGGCATGCACAGGATTAGAAGCAGGTATCAAATTCATTGCAGCTCTCTGTCAAAGTCGTCAAAACTCGTTTGCTACTGCTTTAATTACCAGGAGCGATCACCCCAGGGAGGATTGCTGCTCCTGTTAAACCTCAGAGAATCTCCCAAGGGTTGTCTTGGAGCCAAGGAGGTCCATTTGCTTCCTATTTTTAGTACTTTAATGTGCTGTTTGTCACCAAAGCACCTGCCAGAGCTGGGGGTCTCTGGTATGAAGCTTGATGGTGCTCTGGAAAACCAAGACACCCTGATGAGCACGGGTAATTTGCTCACCCAATAGTAGCTGTTATACGTAAGCTGTGTCACACACACACACACTGGATGTGAAAAACATTTTCAGAAAAAATGAAACCATCTGTAGCATCTGTTGCTGGAAACATGAGACCTGGGTTCTGTGCAGATGTTTGAAAATTTTACTTTTTTTCTTTCCACTTTTCTCTCTGCTGCTGTGGTGAAGGAAGGATGCAGGAGAGGGGAGACCCAAGGAAACCCTACGGGCTGGCGCTGACATCCTACAGCATCATTCTTGGCCGAAAAGAGCACACAGAGATGATCAGCGGGTTGGGAGGGGGGGAGCTTTTGGGGGAATGAGTCTTTGCTTTTAATTTCTCTTTGTTCTTCATTCCATTTCATTCTGTAAGCCTGTTGGAAAGAATCATAACTCCCCAGCTCTAACAATGTTTTGCAATCAACCCTGCATTTACAACAGTTTCTTCTGTCCCTCTCTTATTGTGAGTCCCTCTCTTATACTGGGTCTTGTTTCCTCCTGCATCATACCATCAGTAGCCTGTTTCCAGGCCCACCCCTTTTCTAGCATCTTTATCTTCTTTCCCATGATCAGCCTATGCTATGCCATGTCCTTACATGTGAATAACACACGTGGCCTCAAACAGCCAGCATCCCAAATCCATCCTGCTTTTTCCAGTCAGTTCTGCACGTCTCAAAACCAGTGCTGTAAGTATGACCTTTGGGCACAGGTAGGCTACAGACATTTCCCCCATGCTGGAAAGACTGTGCATTAGAGGCATCTTTAAATATAGCTCTCAGCTTTAACAGCTTCACACAGTAGCTTTTGTGAGCCCTCATTACATTTTCCACTGCATATGCATGAATTCTTATTTTTTTTAAAAAAAGCAATTAACAGTTATTTGGATAAGAATGTCTCTCCGTATGTCAGTTGTTCTGCCAGCAAATGCTGCACTGAAATTTGTAGAAAAGGAACAAAAGTTTTTCATGTACATTTCCCAACTGTGCTGTAACCAAAACTGACGGAAAATACACTGGCTGGAAGAGCACGTGACCTGTGTCCCTAGTGGGATGTGCTATAAACTGTATTTTAAAGTGCTGCTAAGAATAATTTGGTCATCTCAAGCAAAGTAATTGATTCTAATTTGATAATTTTAAGAAAAATAAATGGTTCTGTTCTCTTTTTCTCACCCAAAATATTCCTGAATCACAGAATAGGTATTCAATATCTGGCCAGGAAAAAAAAAAAAAAAAAGAAAAGAAAAAAAAAAAAGAAAATAAAAGAAAAGGTAAGACATATCTCTGTCCTCCTGTGATCTGGGTTCATCCCAGCTAGAGCAGTTTCAATGACAAATCCTGTGCTGGAGTTGCAGCAAGTCAAGTATACCTAACATGGTCTACAACAGTCAATGGTTGTTAATTCAAAAGGGTGTCAAAGAAAAACATGGATTAGAAAGGAAAACAGGAAAGGCATCAGATTGCACACAGAGAGCACAGCCCCTAGAAATGCAGCCCCCACACCTCCCCTTTTCTGTGGGACTGCAGCATGTTTGCTTGAGGTGGGATCAGAGAGTATTTCTGTGTGCTGCCTCTGATGGTTTATTCACCTGGGTGTGACAGCTTGAGAGGCTCTCAAGGATCTTCTTCATCACCTGGAGTGGATGGACAACTCCAAGCTGGATCAATTGTTGGAGTAAGTGAGCTAATGTTAGTCTAGTAATCAGTTTGAGAATTTTGCTAAGATTGCCTATATTTGGTAACTACAGTTCCTCTGGCTCTTGTTCTCTCCAAATACTCTTGAAGGGACTCCTTGTTCCCTTTGAGGTGCCTCTGATGCTTTCCTTTCCCAGCCTTGGGGTCATTCTTGACAGAACATGTCTTTTGGGATGTGGACTTTTCTGCACGGTCCCTTATGTTTCTGTGTATTTTCCATACTGTGTTATTATGATTGAAACAGGCTGTCGTAATAGGTAGGTCAGGAGTGGCTAAACACTTCAGGGGGGATGGTATAACTGTGATAACTTCAACAGACTGTCCAGTCCTCTGAGTGTAGTTCTGTACCTGTTTTGACAACATTAACATTAGCCATGCATCAGATGTCCCTCTTTTTTCACCAACTTTGGTTTTAGCAAGGAGCCAAAGGGACAGCCCCACAGGAAGCTGGATGCTGAGGTGTGGTCATTCAGAAGGAGATAAAGATTCTTTAAATGTCTTGTGAAGTCTGACTGGCAGTTAAAAAAAAAATATATAGCTGCAATGATGCATCATAGTAGACACTCTCTAGCCCCTGAAAGTAATTTCATTTTGCTTTTTATTTAACCTTGGTAGACAGCAATGAGTCTTCAAAACAACCATTTGCCCAATGGTGTGTCAGCAAAGCATGAAGTCCAGAAAGTGTAAAGCAAGGAAACCTATGAGTAGATTAAGTCCTTACTGTACTATTTGCAGCCTTGTTTATATCTGTCTTCCTTTGGGTGGGTTTTGATTTGAGTTGTTGGCATTTTTCACTACTCATAAAGTGAGAATACTTGGGCAGCGTGAGTTCTCAGCTGTGTTATTAATAGTCAATGCAGTCAGTCCCTGATGTTCTTCTGGAGATGCAGAAAGGTAAGGAGCTGGTTTTGTACAAGAACAAGTGCTGGATGGAGAATCACCACACTGGTATTTATGTCAAGGATTTTGATTTAAACTCAAAATGTATTCACAGTAGGTGGTGTGAAGGGAGTAGCAGCCTTTGGGTGCTGATGTTTGCATCCAACATAAGAGGCTGTGCTTGATTGTTGTTTCTCCTGTGTCTGAAACTCCTCACCCCTACCATTAGGCATGATATTCCTCAGGCTGGTGACTGCTCCCATGATGACATCCAAAGGTGATACTTAGGCATAGTCTGTAATAAGGGGTCACTGCAGCTAATTGTCACTCTTTCTATAAAGCACTGAGAAAGCCTCTCTTTGAATTAACACTGTTCTGCTTTAGGACTTGAATGAAACTATATTAAAAAAAAAAAGTTTTCTCTATATGCAGTGCATGCCAGCTTTGCTTTTAAAATTACAAAATTTAACAGAGTATGTGGATCTATTTTCTTGGGGAAGAGGGATTTTTATCATATTGTTCATCCAGGATTTGCCTTACCCTGACATTTGTGATATAAGTTTTAAAAAAGTGTAAAAATTTAAAAAGGTAGTTTTCTTGACCAAAAAATATGTTTTTACTTCAATGCAAAGAAATGTAGAATGTTGCTTGCAAAATGTCTTCTAATAGATGGTCTAGTACTTATATGGGTTAACATACGCCTTTTTTATTACTTTGTCATTTACATGCTGAACCCAAGTCTTGTTACTTTCCTTGTAACTGAAAGAACCAATGCCTTCATAACTACCTTGTTAAAGCAAATAGTTAATAAAGCTTGTCCTGAAGACAAGGCACTGCCACTCGTGTGTTTTTACTTCTTCACCATGCTGATGGTGCAGAGGACATTTTGGTTTGGATGTGCCACCAGCAATGCACGCAGCCAGATCCTCATTAAAATTTGTCATTTGGCAGATTCTTGTAAGAACCAGACACCTCCTGGCAGGGAGGATTTTTAGAAGATTTTGTAGCTCAAAGGGGAGAAGGCATCTTGACTGGTCCCATTGCTGCATAAGAGATGTTAAAAAACCTGTCCTGTTGCACTAAATCTCAGTTATTGTTATCTGTCCAAGAACACTCCACATATATGCAATCCACAGGTATAATAGAGAATTGTGTATGATAGATGTTATCTGGCCTTTCCACCATCACTTATTTAAAAAACGGATAGGTAGAAGGTATTTCAAAGACTGCAAAAGTGGTTTTTTTCTTCCGTGACACCAACGTAGGTGAAATTGTGTGTACCAACCCAGTGAGGGGGCTGGCTCTGTGGATTCAACACTCTCCAACAAATGGCTTCCTTCTCTGAACTTTCACCTTTCCTAGTGTGCCACCCTTGGACTGCTAAAGGGAAGAGGACAAGGGACAGGAGATGCATGGCAGTGGGGAATGTCTGCCTTTTTGCTGTATGTATGGTTTGAGCTAACCTGAGAGAGAGAAATACCAGCAATAGCTGTGCCTCTCACTGGCTTCAGCTGTTCTCACTTCATCTCCAGAGCTCTACAGCAGTGGAAGCACCTACTTTACCCACACTAGCCTGTTTCTGCTGCAACAGTGTCTATGTTTAAAAAGAGAGCAAATAAATTGCCTTCTTAGCTAGAAGAAAGTTCTGCCCATCTCACGCTTCTTGACCAGCACAATGGGAAGACTCCATGTCATTGGAGAATGAAGAAGGGCAAGTGTTTGAGGAGGCACAAATCCTCACGGAGATGGATGTTTTTCCAAAAGATGTGGATTAGGAGAGTCTTCTTGACAGATTTCTAAACAAGGTCTGAAAGGGAAGGTGTTAAAGTGGTGGATTTGTGCCTGGGAAAGTCTTCTGTGGGGCTGATTACATTGGATGTCAATCTGTGTCTACAGTAACAGAAGCCCTATCACCAATTTCCCTCATCAGCTTCTCAGAGAAAGGCTCCAGGAGAAATTGGGTTACCTTTCAGGATTTCCACGTGAATCTCCTCAGAGTGTTATGTGAATGCTTTAAATTGGCTTTGATTCCTCTCCCTAGCCCCCTTACACAGCAGCTTCCAAAAGGATCATTATGACTTTGGTTTATTCATAAGGGAAAAATTGTGCTTTGGGATTTTAATTAGTCTTGGGATTGGGCTTTTTTTTGCTTTTTTTTCCTGAAGTGTCCAGAGGCATTTAAATACCCTAATTTCTCGTTCCACTAGAATTATCAGCAACTCCATAAAGTAAATGTCAAATCACTGTTAATTGTTTCAGAATCCACTAATAAAATATTTATCATAATGAATTCCTTCAGAAAAAAAAAAAGAAAATCAAAAAGATTCCTCATGAAAATACAGACCATGCAAGAGGTACTTGGGGAGGCTGCTCCATCTGGTGGCAGCTCAGGACTCATAGTTTGGGGGGTAACATCTATTTGCATTACACAGGTGAAATTTTCCACCAGTTTAACCCTGTTGAGCATCATCCACTCCTTGGCAGAACAGCAAGTCCATGCACTTGGTTGATGTTGGAAAACGTGGTTGGCATTTGCCACAAGACACACCTCACCTATTAAAAGTAGTCACCAAGATTTTCCTGGTTTTCCCCAGGAAAAAATGGAACAAGCTTTTATAAATAATTTTCAGTGCAAGCCTGGGAAGCAGTGCAGCCACCAGCTATTGCAGAGGCCAGGGAGCCTCTTTGGATTTTGCCCTGTACTTAAAAGTCCTACTTATTTCACACCAGCTTCCAAGCACCTTCTTGGTAGAAGTGTCCTTCTGGATGGGAAATGTATGCCTAAATTATAAGATTTTAATATATTTTTAAACTATATCACAACAGCAGTCAGGAAATTGTTTTGAAATAGAGGACAAGAGATCAAATCACAAGACAGTTGAAACAAGCAGCAGAGAACCACAAATCCAGAGGCACACAAACAGGCATCATGAAATTAAAAATCCCTTCTCTGCTTGGTGTGCCCTTCACAGCACCCCCACACCAGAGCAGCATCTTTTTTTTTTTTTTTTTTTGCAGAAAAGCAAAATGAGAGGCCAGGTGCTGAGGAGACATTGATTACCTCTTTTCCCCAGTCAAAGCAATTTTTATGCAATAGATATTCTGTATTTACTATATAGAGCAGATGATGGGTAGTTAATGTATTTTGGACTGTATAGTGTATATAATTATATACTGTATCTGTTCTGCACCTAATTTAATTAGACAAAATGTGTGCGGTATAGAAAATGCATTAGATCAAACTTGGGTTTATGTAATCCCTAAACACAGGTAAAAGCTGTAGCATAAAGTCAATATTTGCATACAAAGTGTTTTGCATTACATAAACAAAACCATCCAGATACCATCTAACATGGAGATAATATATACCAGAAGTCTACTACAAATACTGTGGTTTAGACCACATATAAACTATATAATATTTAATATTCAACGTATATGTAAGCTACATATGCACTAGCACAATAGTGGTATTTTATATAAGATAAATGTAACTTGGGATATAAATGCACACAACAGAACACTCCATATCATGCAGTATGTAATCCCTATGCTATTCCATTGTATACTTTATGCCCTATATTATATTTTTGTCATACCATATAGGAATTATATCATG